ACCACTAAACAACAGAGTTGCTCTGGTTAGTAAATACGCTCTTCACTACGTCACTGTTTCTTTACATCATCGTAACTTGCATAACATTAATTGAGAGCCAGTTGACGGCTGTTATGTCTGGAAATGCTCACGAGCGCCAGATATGAACGACTCCACAACTATATTTTCCTTGGCATTGATCGTCGCATGCCTAATGGAATGGCAAGATATGAATGACTATTATGGCGCCATGGATGCCAGGCCGACTTAAAAATAGTTTCCTCAACATAGTCTGCATATCTTCGTGAGCGCGTTTAGAACCCCTAAAACTAGAGGGACTTAGTCCTAAAACAAGAAACCTTAAGAAAAGAAACCTAAACCTAGACCCATAAATTTAAACTCCTCAGAAACAAGAGGTCTAGGTCTCGAGAAAGACAGGGCTCTGAACTGCACCGAATGACCCTCAAGATGGCTTTTTCATTTCAAAACCCCATGAAAATGTGGACTACTCTCTTTAAAAGTCAGAGTAGGCAACGGACCTAAATGATCAAGGCAAACATTATGCTTAAAAAACACCCTGCCAGCGTAATCCGCGACGCTTATTCGAATGCAAAAATAAAAACAATTTTGTATGATTTTGATCACCATGAACTACTAGGGGTCAAACAAGGTTACTGACCTTAAAGAAACATCAGTGACATTTTGTTTAGAGCACTTGTGTAGGGTCATGGCGGTTGCATAATGGGCCTGGTACCACTTTGAACACTTATCTGGAGTTTGACGTTGTTTGGCCTCATTTGACACAAACGTCACAATGTAGGAACTTCAAATTTTGACTCAACTGAGATCATATGCAGGGCGACCCACCCTGTAAATTTGGCACCTCTAGCTTCCTTAATTTTTTAGATTTCAATGGGTCAAATTGACCCCGTCCCCAACTCGAGCGAAGAGCATTCAGCCGGCCACCCGGGCGCGTGTTAAGCGAAGATCCGTCGAAAATTAACGCCAAAAACGTGACGAATTAATAACTGCTACTTTCGGAGGAACTCTTGAAAAGTGCTGACCGCCACTTTGAGTGAATATTCAATGAAACAATTACATAAACCTGACGATCGAAACGACCCGACTCAACCTATAGCGGTAATCATCCGACAATGATCAGAAAAACAACACTAGGCGTTTGCCCGACGTGAGTGCCGCATTGCGGCCTGAAGCCCGGCTTGGTCCACATACCAGGGTTTTCCGTGGCAGTCCCTTATAGCTACGCACATCGACTTACCCAATTAACTTCTGAGCCATACGCGTCCAACATCGTGTAAAGCCAAAACAACATCGACCCCACGTCGGTTACCGAAACTTCATTACGTCCATGGATGCCCAAACAAATTATTATGATGCCCCGTGACAACATCTCACACCGAGCCAGAGCAAGAAAATGTGTCTGAAAGTCTTCCTCTACAGCTAGGTGAGACTCCAGCTCCCAAACTTTGAGAAAAAGGTAGGTCAAGCCCGGATGAAAATATGTTTAAGTACATTTTGGGGCTGGTCAAGCTATTTTTTTCCGACTAGCGCCCCAAACCTGTTTCGCTGAACTATACCACCGTGGTGGACGCATAATGAATATAACATGCGACGTATTCGCCACCACATATTTCTTCACCGTCTAACCCACATCCAAAGTGGAAAGCGTCTGAGTCAAGAGACAGGTGGCTCAAATCAATGCAAGTGATCTGCAGCTTACACCGACCCCGCGTGGCGGAGCTAAAATCTTCAAGGATGTCGACTTCGTTGAAGACAATTTGAAACTGAATCGGGTTCTCGCAACGCACATTACACACGAATATGTTGCTGAATGAAAGAAATCGGATTTACGAACCATCATGTTTCTAGCATGTAAATCTAATACCTGTATTTTTAGAGAGAAAAAATATATGATATATGAGTGCATTGTTCAAAATGTCAAAACACCAGAACATCCATCATCGAGACAAAAGAGACAAAAGAATATCAAAGACACTGATAGGAAGTTTTTCCTCCCTCGGAAAAAGGTAATGGCCTTATAAGTATTCAATCGAGTGAATCAAAATGAGGTAAGAAATGCACAAGACCAGACCACGGCACCTGAAAACGTCAATCCTTCTCCAGAATTGACCAGTAAAACAAGCTACATAACCAGTTTTGAACCTGTGCTCGCGATCTTGGGGGCAAGAACACCGCCGGTCCGGGGCTGCGGTTCCATCAAACCGAGCGACATTAGCCGCTGCAGATCACACCGCACGGCCCACACTAAGCGCGCGAGAACGACCGTTGTGAAATGGTCCTTCCAAAAGCCTTTGAAAATCAATTCGTATCGCTCAAAGATTAGACTGGGATGTGTGTTACACCTGTATGATTTTGACGTCACCCTCTGAACAGCTGAAAGGTTATAGCAATACGAAAATGATAATTTTGCATCTACTTTTCCAGCTCCGCACCGGATTTCAGCACGATTTCGCAGTGCTGTGAATACTTATTCGTTCTCATTGGCAATTGAAACATCATGTAGGTAAGATATTTGTTTAGACTGCCTTCTAAACCTACTAATGGTTGCCCTAAAGCGTTGAAATGTCACTTCTTTCAGACACGTCATCGTTCTCGTTCGCCCGCTGGTCACCGCCTAAAGCTGGGCAAGGAAGGGGGGGGGGGGGGGGGCACCGTGCAGCCCACGGAGACTACTACGCCAAGCGTGGGGTTTTGTCGCTGCGACTTGCAAGCGCGCATGTTCAGAACTATCTAGTGTATTGTTTTCATCATTCAATTTTGAGGGTAAGTTAATCATTACTAGACGAATATCGGTTGGCAACGTCAGTACATGACTTTGTTTTTTTCATCTACCATCTACGTTCACGGAGTACTCATGCCTATCGCTATGGAGTCAAAAATCCGCTGAAAGCCCTGAGTGCTCTCAGTTATCAAAGAAACCACTGAACCCATGCAAGGCGAATATCTGAAAATAATGAAAAATTTGTATTCTGTGTAGTTATTTTACGCCTGGCTCCTTCAGTTTCTTGGCGTACACATGCAGACAGAATGGCATTTTCCGGTCGGTTCTGGCCTTTGTTGAAGTTTAAGTGGATAAGAGGAATAATAAAACGAAGAGGAACACATCCGATGGTTTTACTTGTGGGCGGATGGGGAGGGCTCTGTGAGCCCATTGCCCCGCCCCCTCCGCCACCAAGGCTCGCTAAAAAAGTTGCAATAACCTGGGTGCTATTTTTTGTGAAACTCTTACCTGGACATCACAACTTTATAGACTAATGCAGAAGTGCGCAGGGATTACAGCTGTTTTATTATATTGTCATCTAATGCCAAAGAACCCTATGCGTCAAACACCTCAATCACCATTGCTGCCTAATGTGTTTTGCTGCATCACTGCTGAATGCCAGCGAGCACTGTACAGGTGCTGAGTTCGAAAATATTTTTCGACCAGAGTGATAGCGAACTCTCGAATGCACGATCATCGTCAGTGCCGTCCAGAGGTGGTTAGGCTGGCTGAGAGTGGCTGAACTCATTGAACGTCGAGTATGCATGCACCATGATAACCATTTGATCACGAAAGAGCCAGCTCAAGTAGTAACTCTGTTGCAATCAAACCGGATTGCGCGTGGCATGGACGTAACCGACTTTTGTTTGCCACACGTTAGAATTGTAGCGGGATCGGAAGGGTCGCCCTCCGTTCAGAGACATAACAGCTTGGAGCAGTGTACCCCAGAAACACAGCAGGTTTGCAATGCGTGCTCACTGAAACGAACGAAGAAAAGGCGTTCCAAACAAGAACGAAATTACCTAAATGTATTTGCGGCGCGGTCGAGGACCATTGTTTTCAAAAGTGTGTAGCCTTTTCTTGTATGTAGAGCTCCTCGGTCGTCGGAGAAGCCTCTCAATGGCCAGAAGGGTTCTTAGCAACTAAAAGTGCTCATAAGAGACCAGAGAGGCCTCAGCATACAGGACTTTGAGCGACCAAGTAGGCCCTGGGCAGTTGGGTGAATCTCTTGTAATCAGCTGAGACAAAGTTTTTCTTTGGCACACGGATTAATGATTAACATTCAGGTCTGTCGCACCGCACCAGTGTCGATATTCGTGAGGCGAGAGCAGTTTTTCTTTGATAGGCCAAGAAAACCGTATTCAATACTTGCGCCACCTACTTTACGCACTGGGATCATCCTCCAACAAGCCTCAAAGCTGCCACTTTCCACGCTCCTGGTACGTGGTGGGTTAAGTATGAAGTAGATATAATGAGCACCAGCAAAACATTGCCAAACAGCTCTTAAGCCTACTTTTTAGTAAAAAACATTAATTTTTGGTGCAACCCGGAGCTGTGCAGTTATGAGATTGCTCCAGCAGGCCGGGTTAGGTTCAAGTTTGTTATTGCTAACGCATCATTGTGATGTTGGCTTGGAATTTATGTGCTTTTTGCGTGGCAAAAAGTTGTTTGGTTTTATTAGTTTAGTTTTGCCGGTGCTGAAACATTTCTTTCCAACAATTACTTGCATAAGCATGCCGAAGGCTACACGGTCGCGCACAAAACATTTTGTGATAAGCCACCCGGCTCTACTGTCCCACCACCAACTGTCGACTACGGGAGAGCATTGAGCTACATCAGGTGGCTGAGCGAATCGAAGAGGAATCTCTTTAATTCCACTTCAAGACCGCGACGGCAGAACTCGGGGTACTGTGAACCAACGAAGCGATCCCTGTTCATAATCTAGAATATGTGACAAAATTGATCGAGAGGGATTGATACCATCTCAACAGAGCTATCAGCAAGAAATCAAAGAAAGGAAGACACCGTGAAATTCAACAAGCTTCTTGACGTCGCGAAATGTAAATGCAAGCCTCAGTGCAGCTTTCCATGCCCAGTTGCCTTAACAGTGTATCAGGAGGAGGTTGCCATGAAGGACCAGTGCAGGCACCAGAAGCTCACCCTGGGGTCATATCACCGGGATACGACTGTGACCAGGGAGGCTCGTGAGGTGCGGAGGATGGCTAGACATCTCCAGGAGCGTCGTGGCTCGGCCGACAGTGAGACGGTGTCTGCTGCTGAACCTGAGTCGCCTTCCCCGCAGACTACTGAGCCCGCGCCGCCTGCTGAGCCAGCGCTGGCTGCTAGTGCTGTCCCCTAGCCTGCTCCGGGACCAAGTGGTCTCAGCGCTGGCGAGTCAGCCGAGAGCAGGGATTCTTACATGGTTCCGTATCTGGTAGAAGGTGGCTCGATGGCCCGAACCAGGCAGCTGTTGCTGCTATCGTCAACGCCTTTCAACAAGACGGGGGAGACGGTCTGGCTGCTTGAAATCAAATACCATAGATCCTAAGAAGATATGCTGCGCCAGATACAGAGCGAGAAAGGAGAGGGCTTCTTAAAATTTTGAAGCAATCCACGATTCAGGTTTGACCATCCTCTGCTCCGATGGGCGCGAAGGCAGGAGCTACATGAACCACGCGGAGCCAAATGAATGCCGTCGAAAACACGCGGTTGTCATCACTGAGCTAGGCAGCCGCTACGTGACTCATTTTACGTCCGAGTTCGGCCGCGCCCTGCACTTGCTCAACGAGTTACACTTCGTGAGCCCGCAGCGCAAATGTCACATCAATGTGCTCAGATGCGATGGCACGGCCGTCAACACCGAAAGGATAGACGACCGGCTGTTTGAGCTGGCCACCGAATCACCCGTACACTGGTTCATCTGCCAGCTGCACGGCAATGAGCTGAACCTCCTCCATCTGTTGCTGAGCTTGGACGGCACCGTCACGGGATCGAAATTTGTCTGGACCCATCGGCAAGACCTGTGCCGGAGAGGTCTGGGAGAGGGACGTTGTGGCATTCAAGCCTGTGTCGGGGCACGTGCCAATCCTGCCGGTCGACCTGATTCAGCAGCTGAGCAGCAACCAGCAGCTGCTGTACTTTCTGGCCTCCGGCGTTCAAAACGGCTCTGTCCGAAACGTGGCAGCCCAGTGGCGAATCGGACCATCGATCATGTCAGGTAAATATGGGAACGCATTATCTTCGAAGTTATAGCAATGAGTGGTTAAAGTTCATCAAGTATCAATTGATGTTGCATGTGCTCACTGTTGAGCATTTACTCTTATCATACCTTGTGCCGTAGTACGTCGCATCATTTGCTGGTTGGTTCATGCGTACTAGCATATTTGTTGATAAGTTTTCTGTCACATTTAAGGACTCCGGATATCGACATAATTACACACACTTAAGAGGCGCAATATTTTTATGATCTAACGGTTAGTTTAGCGAATTGTTCTAATATATTCGCTTTTGTTTTCAGGTGGTTGACACTGGCCGTTCGTCTGCTCCTAGGTCACATCTCTACCGAGACCTCCAGCTGCGCTCTTAAGGACCTCGTCCAGTGCGTCGTCGGCCACTATGTGCCGGTATGGTCCGCCATCCGGTAAAACAGCGGCTGCGACTTTGGCTTACGCAACTTGTTCCGGAGCATTGCGCTGCTCCGCGCCCTGCCGCAGCGATGAGAACCACATGATCCGCGAACAGGCGGTTCCGATCGTTGCGCCGCTCGTGAGCAGCAAACCGAGGGTCTTCTTCAGCCCAGGGTCTTCACCATCTCAGCGGTAAACGTCGAGGCCGTGAGGTACACCGAACTGATTCCCTGGCACGGACCAGTCACACAGCCTCCACTGCGATACCTCAGCGACTGCGAGCTGCGGAACAAAGTGCAGGCACCGCTGGCCATATTGCCCTATCTGGTTCACACTAGGAGTGCGACGCAGCGCCGTACTGCCGAGAACGTCTGTGGCTGGAGCTGGAGCTTCGGCAGTATGTGGAGCCCAGCTGCGAATGTATTTCTGCTACTGTGCGATCTCTGCCAACACGCGTTTTGCGTTTCCAGCCTGTTAGCAGTTGCTGTTTGGGCCGGTGCATCGAATACACAGGCTCGGCAAGGAGCAAGATGTGCATGGTGTGAGCCTACCGCCCCCTCCCCCGTTTCTGCGTCCGTGGTACAGGCTGCAGAACTTGCTGTATGTATTAGGTCGTACAGCAGACAACACATTCTGAGTCATATGTTATACATAGTTTTGTTTGCATCATGCGAGTTGTCTTAGAGTAGCGAAAGTCTAAACCAATACTGACCAGCATATTCGTACGAATTCATACTCAACAACACATAAAGTTTCCGCCAAATGGCAATCAATCGGGCAATGTCTGATCCGCATATTAGACCTTAGACCGGGACATTCTCGTACGACGGCTTAAGGAGCGCTCAGTAGCATCGTTTCTATACTCAAAGGTATTTTGTGCCGCTTGCCGCCCGCAGCTTGGTGTTACCTGCGGCGGCGGACGCCGCCCAGCATGGGGTGACTGCAACGCCGGGTTTGGTTAACGGCGATTATTTGATCGACTCGCGCCCAACGAATTAAAGTTTTTGGAAAGAACTTTCGCTATGCCGTATATTTTGGACTCCTGCGCCAAATAGTTTTTTTGTCTCACTTGCTTTTGTTACTGATGGCATGCCCTACTGGGCAGTCCAGATGCCCCATTGATGTCTTGAAGGGAATTTGGAAGTCCAGAGGGCCTTAAGTAGCGATAAGGAGCCTGAAACGACTGAAGGGCACTTGATGGACACAAAAGACCCACTAAACAGTCAGAGGGGCTCCCGGTTTCCAGATGGGTTATTTTGAGCATCCCAAAGGGGTGATTTGCTGCGATCTGAACTTACGCTTTGACAAGGAATATTTTTATCATCATGCTGTGCTGTCATTTGTTCTTCGCGTTTCGCGGGCCGAAGAGCCCTCCCAAGGGGCCTATGTATCCTTTTTCGGGTATTCCGAAGCTCAGGGTCCGGACTCCCTGTACCCCTCCCCCCCCCCCCCCCTCCGCCCTGAACCCCGTATCATCTCCAGCCATTCTGTTGGCGTTGTATTATTGGACAGCTTATTTAGAAAAGAAAGATATGCATGATGCTTGTTTAGCAAGGCAAAGCTCGAAACATCGCAAAATATAATGCGCATCACAACGAGGCTGTGGGTGGGAAAGGCAGCGATACCAGAGGCCCAGTCCTGATTAATGCCAGGCTCCTGCTGTGAGTACGGTGACAGCAGTGTTCTCCATAGATAGCTAAAATGTTTCCAACATATGAATCTCACTGCGGTGTTCTAAGCATGTTTCGACTGGTGATATCGGGGTGGACGATCAGACTCAAAAGATGCCCTGTGCGTTATGATTGTTGGCATACACAAGACTGGGCAGCATTCCAAAGATCACTGCGACGTCACTTGACATATTAAAGTAGAGGAAAAATCATGACCGTGAAGGGAGTGTAAACGCACCGGAGATGCCGGAATCAGTGTCGTGTTGAGACAAATTTGGGCGGCAGCGACAAAGAAAGATATCATTCAGTAAGGCAATCAAGTTGAAGATACGACGTCTCGTAGGTGCTGTCTAAGCATTTTAGACATGATCCTGGCTCTAGTGAAGCAAGGAAATATGTGATGTGCTTCCACTCTACAGCATAATCTTCGCCCAAACTATGAAGGAGCCGATTTCTCAAGCTCTAGATTATAAATGTATGGGGGACAGCAAGTCTTATGCAGTGCTAAAAGCTGATTTGAAAAGATAAACTTGTACCGTGCTTTTATGTAGAATTCAGCACGGAGCGGGGTCATATCATAGTATGTGAGCTGTTTTGCCGTGGTTTCAGGTTTCACGACGGTCACGACGACTCTTCTGCGTACACCTTTTATCACTGGTCGCGAATCGACGAATTTGTCTACTTCAGCCATCAGTTTGTGACCGTTCCACCCTGCGGCTGGGTGGATGCAGCCCATACGCATGGTGTGCCCATCTACGGTGAGTATGGCATCTAGGCTGTCTAGGCGGTGCCAGTGCATAGCGCGCGATGGATCTGTACCTGGAGCAACTAGACACAATACCGCAGTCATGATCGAGCCGTAGCCGTAGGTAGTAGCCATAGCCTTATTCCTCGTAGAAAACCGGGATAATGGAGAGATAGATGCGTCGATGTTTTGGCATCATGCCTTTATCGAAACGATTAGCAGAACTAAATTTATGTGCTTTTGATATTAAAAGGGGTAGGTAGATTTATTTACTTCCGCCATTCGTTTCGATAAAGGCATGTTGCCGAAATATCAACACATTTATCTCTTCATTCTCTTGGTTTTTCTAAGAGGTATAAGGCTATTACTACTGTCTTATCTATATGCATGATATTCCTCGCAAATGTACTTAACAACTTCCGTAGCCGTAGGAAAGTAAAGCAATTGTTTGGTCCCTGAGGAGGGCCATCCCTAGATTTAAACTGCCGAAAACTGTAATGATCTGCTCTTTCATACAAGTGACCACAGCTCTAAAGCCTGAAGGGCGATATTGCGAAGGACTGATAACAGTGCTTCCAAAGCGGCTGGACTATTCTAGACAGTCTTCTGACGTCGCGTTAGAAGCCGTTGCCAATAACGGAAGGCTTTCCCATCGTGTTCCCAACAAGCAGTTGATATCACCTGTTGCGTCGGAAGCAGAACCGACGCGTTACATCGGTGTTCGGATGGCGTTCCCATAAGTGACGGCCTTTGTTTCAGTTACATTACACAAGCTTCACTTATGCCAAAACGTAGATTATGGAGGCGACCACCCGGAGCTCGCAAATACACACCCTCCAACAATCTTTAATTCGATGCGCTGGCAATATTGATCTTCTGTACATTGCAATATGATATTTACTCGAACTTAGTACGTAAACCAACGTCGGAATATGCTGCGTCGGGGCCATCAGCATCAGTGGCCCTGTCTACAGGGGCAATCATCACGGCTTAGTCTGTGCGCAGAGACCATCGCCCGCTGCGTTCAAGCTGCATCATCTCCTCCGGGTTTTTGACAGAGACCGTCATCATCCTTGGACCCGTCCACGCCTCCACGGGCCATCATCACCGCCGGGTCTTTCCGTGGGGACCATCATCATCCTTGGGTCCGTTAGCAGTGGCCATCATCATCCTTGGCTCCATCCGCGGGGCCATCATCACCACCGGATCTACCTGCAGGAACCATCATAATCCTTGGGTCCGTCGGCAGGGAACATCATCATCCTTGGCTCCCTCCACGGGAACCGTCACCACCACCGGGTCTGGACCATCATCACCAGCGGGTCTACTCGCAGGGACCATCATCAGTATCAGGCCTGCTCGCAGGGACCATCATCCCCAGCAGGTCTGCCCGCAAGGACCATCATCCCCAGCAGGTCTGCCCGCAGGGACCATCATCCCCAGCGTGTCTGCTCGCAGAGACTATCATCACCGCGGGCCTGCCGGCAGGGACCATCATCACCGAGTCGGCGGCCGGCGAGGAGACGTGTCAGCAGCTACTGCGCTCGCAGGAAGTGGTGGAGGTGGTTGTGGAGCGGCTCGTGGCCGTCAGCCGCCACCACGGTCTGGACGGGTGGCTGCTCAACATCGAGAACGCTATCGATCCTGCACAGGCAAGCGGTCCGCCGAGCAGCCGACGGCGGGTCTAGCGGCCGCCCCAAGTTTGCGGGCTGCATCGCGTGTTTGCCCTCATGGACTGCGTCGCGTCTCTCGCCTAGCCGAGTACGCTTTCAACACATTCGGTTCGCAGGTAGTACAGCTGTTGCTGACATCGCGTGCGTCTCGCCCAGAAGTTCGCGAGCACACAGCAGGAACTTGCCGCTGCCGCCGGAGCTTCGGGGGTGACTTTCTCCGTGGCCGTTCCTCACGCGCTGACCGTCCGTCTTGCGACGGCACGCCCAAGCCCTGGCCAGTGAGAGTGGCCGTTCTCTGTTTGTAGTCTGAAGCGCCTTGTGTGTTCTCTCCAACAGCTGCCCTTGCTACGGCACTTGGTAGCCCAACTCACGAGCCGCATGCACCAGGAGATTGAGCACTCGCGTGTCATCTGGTATGACTCAGTGACCCGTGACGGCGAGCTCCGCTGGCAGGACCAGCTCAACGAACAGAACGAGTGAGTGGCGCTTTCTCTCTCTCACCTTTTTGTTTTTCCTGAAGTTGGTTGGGTGTACCAGAACCTATTTCAGGTATGTTCTTTGTATATCAAGGTGAAATTTAAGATGCTTGAAGACATATTCCAAACCGTCCAGTGCCGAACGATGGGGATTTTGCTAGTGCCCTGTTTTTTCTCTTAACTTTGCAGCTTCTGTCTCCCGAGGGTAAAGTCTTGTAAAAACGTGGACAGGAGCGAACTGAGCCGACAAAGTTAACCTAACCTATCCCAAATACTGATTTCCCATCTGAATTTGGCCACTTTCTTTTGCTCCTGGATGTCAAAATTTAAATGAAAATGGTTTATTTGGCTCCAAAATTGTTTTGAAATTGAGGAATGCCCTCGCATTTAAAGGCGGTGCAGCAGTGACAATGATGACATATGGTGATCATATTGATAGTGCTGCGTTTAGGTACGTAGTGTACTGGCAGCCCAGGCACTTACTGCATTTCCTTCGCCCAGTATTCCTTTTTGCTGATTGGCGTCCTGAAGGAAGGGCTCAGAAGAGCATTCGAGAGGCTCAAGTCAACATTGGAGATGGGAGGCAGCCCCCCCCCCCCCCCCCCCCCCCAGTGTACAAAGTGACACTTCTATGTCTCCCTGTTTGAAAAGTTCATTGGTGTTTATGTCACGTCATTGACATATCCTGACGTCAGCGTCAAGAACGACGCTAGGTAACATATCCCTCAAAGGAGTCAACAACTTAACAGCAAAGTTACGGTTTATAATTCATCCATTTGTGTTCAAATATTTAATTAAATGGGCTATCCCACCCTTTTGTACTTTTTCACTTCTTGTTTCACCGGACGCGTACAATTTCATCAGTAATACCAGCTTTCTCGAAATCCTGAACAGCCCCGAGTTTCGATTTGAAAAAGCCGACCCTGGAACCCTACAAGCCCTCGCCCGCTGGGCCAATCGCAGGCTTTCTTTTATTCGCGCCAGTAGAGGTGCGCATGGTCGCTGTCATGACGACGGTGGTCGGTACTGCAGGAAAGCAGCGCATTGTTACAAATCGTTGACAGCACAATTTGGACTATAAAATAATCAAAAGTGATATCCTTATGATGTATTGACAGTGCTGCTCCAGCACTACCCAGTGTTTTTATAAGATGTAACTAATCCTGAGGTTCCACTGGTGCATGTTTCTGAAATACGCCCCACAGATGGGACATTCCATTTAATTGTCGTTTACAAACTATCGGCACATTTAGGGGAGGGAGGGGCAGCATCGCCCTTTGGGAAGCATCGCCCACCTCAATATCAAGAATACTTGATACTGCACATCATCAGGTAACGGCCCTTTCGACTGTGACGCCGAAGCGGGGGTTACGGCACCGGGACGCTCTGATTTAATCGGATTTTGGGGCTGAACTGCTTGCAGTAAATAAATTCTTCAGGCATATTTTGGGGAAGGTTCCCCTGTTTCTTGTTTCTGTGATAAAAAAACACCGGCATGGAAATCGGATGCCCTGCCTCGTTTGAAGTGAGAGGGAGTGAAAGTGAGGGAGTGGAAGTGGAAGTGAAAGTGAAATATTCGTTTAGATTATTTCTTTCCAGTCAATTTCCACCGGGCCAATGCCAGATTTTCGGAAAGTGGTGGCCCTCGGCCACTTCCTCTATACCCGGCTTTCGGGACCCATGCCTTGCGGCGGTGCAACTCATAGCGCATGGGGAATTTGCACCACATTGATCATTTACGGGAATACCGGTTATTAAACGCGTGATTTATCATCCATTTTGCATTCAAGTGTGGTGATGATTTTTACGGTCTCGTCCCCTCCCCCCTCCCAAAAATTGATGGCACCACCTGTGGTTGTACCTATTACCTAGCCTTTTCCTATCAAGAATGCCTCGAAACTACATTCGAACATCTGACCGAGGATCTCGGACCCCAGAGTCCATGAAGAATGCCGTAAAAGCTGTACGTAGGGGCCTGAAAATACGGCAGGCCTATAAGAGGTTTGGAGTGCCCCGCTCAACCTTCATGGATCGCCTAAAAGACGACGGCCCGTTAGAACCAGATGACCCTCTATGCGTCGGGAAAAAGACAGTCATGTCCAACCATTTTGAGGAGAATTGGAGCAGCGAATTCTGTACCTGCCCAGCATGTACTGCGGTATATCGAGAGAGACGTTGGCCAGGATTGCATACGAATACGCCGAAAGACAGAGGATAAAGCAGCCCTTCAATCACCAGAAGAAGTGCGCTGGCCCAGACTGGCTGGCTCAGACTGGCTTTTTAAAAAGGCATCCGAAAATTTCGCCCAGAAAAGCCCAAGGCCACAGTTGGCAAGACTGGAAGGCGTCGACAAGAACAACATGGGAAAATTCTACGACAACCTGACGTGCGCAATATCAGAGCATGGACTGTACCCCCATCATAAGGTGTACAGTGTTGATGAAACTGGCCTGAAATCTGTGCCTGAAATTCCGAAAGTGCTGGCTGAAAGAGGACAACGCAAGGTCAGCCAAGTTACGACAGCAGAACGGGGCAAGCTGACGACGATTGTGGGGTGCATCAGCGCGTCGAGCGTGACTGTCCCACCAGTGATGATCTTCGGTGGGAGAAAAAGAAGAACCCGGCACTAACCAAGGACACTCCCGTTGGAACCATATGCGCCGTAGCGACAACGGCTGGATCAGCCTCGGACTTTTTGTACAGTGGTTCTGGCACTTCGTCGAGCATGCCGCTCCCGCGGCTGATAGAAGGGTTTTGCTGGTTATGAACAACCATAGCAGCCATGTCAGTCTGGACGTCATCGCCCTAGCGCGGAAACACGGCGTAGACATCGTGACCATACCATCACACTGTTCACATGTCCTGCAGCCTATCGGCACAGCACGGCGCCCTGGCAGCACCGACACGATCGCGGCACGCCACGTCGGTAGCAGCGGCACAACGTGGCACCGTGGCAACTTCGGTGTGGTTTGACACCCCGGCTACACCGTCACCTTACAGTCCAATAGGTGACATACTCCCTCTTCCAATAGTCTTTGTGTCCCCAAAAGACCAAAATTGTCGGAAACAGAGAGGCACATCCCTCATAATGACCAGCTATCCTGTAAAATGGTGGCTGGAAGAGAATGCCTAAGCGAAAAAACCAGTTAACGCCTTGCAAAAAGCAAAAGCGAGCTACAGCAGAAGAGAAAAGAAGCAGTAGGAAAAAACAGGCCATTAGAAAGTGTTCTCGGTACAGATGACACCTGTATGTACTGCTCAGGTGTCACCGGAAGGGATGAGGTGTGGCTTCTTTGTAGTGGATGCAGTCGTTAGGGCACATGAAGCGTGCAGTAACGGGTCCAGCAGTGCAGGAGTCGTTTGGGATCTGTCCTGCAGTTAGGTTTCTCGGTGAATGAGCCGTGTCGTGAGAAGAAACGCTGCTTAGTTACTGGTTAGTTTTCACAGCATGATTCAATGAGAAGAAATGAAAGATAAATGAACGAACGGTCTCTGCCGTGTAAAGGATAGGATGATGGTTTCTTAATTAGCCCTGGATCGGTTGTAAGAAGGCAATATGCCTCGAAGGTAAACTGGCTTTGGTATGCTTCAAAGTTTCAGGATATCCGTGGTCATATGATGCAGTAGGAACTTCGATATCGCCTGAAATTTCAGATCTGGAACACTGAAAAGAAAACGGGGGCAAATCTAAAGAAAGGAAAGTGGGAAATGTCGAGACGTTCCACCCACGTCGAGTCAGAACGACGTGACCTGGGTCATAGGGACAATTTTTACCCGATGGAGAACACACAGGCTACTTTTCCTGCAAATTTGGGGTTTCTAAACGTCAGGCGACCGCAACCATTGGTACACTCGGACAGACTGTACCGGGAAGCGAAGGGCGGTATAACCCCGCTTTCGGTGCTACGCCACAATATGACAATTTTTCAAAACCTTTCGGAATGCTAGTAACCCGATGTTGACCGCTCTTGAAGAAAATTAAGCAAAATGATAAGTGATTGCACGCAAATCCCTTTCCTGCCACCCGCACATCAAACTCCACCAGGATATGAAGAAGAAGAAAGGGGGGCGAGGGTCGACTTCTTCCTGCCCCACAATCCTGTCGGCTTTTTTACAAAAGAGAACGCGACGCACGTGGTCGCACACCCCTTTCATGGAGAGCTAGCAAGTGCAAAGGCCATATTAGCGCCAAGGGGCCATGGTGCGACTGGGGTTCGAAACCCACGTCGAAATCGCCGGCCTTTCGGCCATCACACCTGAATGTTATTTGGGAAAATATCACAGTTTAGCGTAATCCCCTAAGCATGCCCGCTTATTTGGACCTTGTGTTGTATTATAGAAGGCCGGCATAACGCGATGCGCAAGGTGTTCGTATGTGACGTTTGATTTTCTGGTATTTTATGGCCTGGACCTTCAGTCATCTGGTCTTTTGATTGCGGCAGGAACTCCTACGTAATCTGTGTATAGTTTACATGTGTCATTTCACTGGGAGTTCAGCTAACTTCTAAAATCACGTCACGTCACTTCACGTTCTACAATCGGTTGGGTGGTCCCAGCCGAAGAGGTTGACCGAATCCAGGGTAATAGATATCGGCATAACCTGCGTCCAAAGCTTGATTTTGTCCTGGATGTCGTCCACTTGATGCTGATGGTGAAATAAATCAAACCTTTCAATGTTTCGTGGAATCGAAGCTGTGTTTCTGCGGATGAAGAAATTTGCATTTCAAGTAAATTTGAACAACGCTTTTGTGAAAAGCTTAGAATGATTCAGAAAAAAGAAAACTTCATATACCTCAGTATGGGATCGCTGATGACCGTCGCTTTCTCTGATCCTGTTGCGTAACCGCAACAGCCACGGTTATGTAACAAATATACTAGCCACTGTTGGGGAGAACATGCGTTAACATGAATCGCCCCGCCCCCCGTACTTTCAAACGCTGGCGCATGCTGCAGTTCATTGTTCTCCATCCCAATCCAGGCGTTTTTTTTTTTTAGGAAAAAAATTAGTAACATTTGCGGACTAGCTGATCAGTTAAAGCAGTTCACGTGACAAAAACATTAGGCACATACAGGACATTCTTGGTACAAAATTAACATGAGACTGATAATGATGTGCTCATAGGAACCTTTTACTTCGTACATCAAGATTTGATGATCGTTCTTTTCTTATATGGTCTAGTAATCCCTCTTTGCTCATATACATTGAAGGGCTCAGATGAGCATTATGGGGAGGGGGAAGCTCAGCCCCCCCCCCCCCTGAAAGTATATAAGTGACTTCACCGGCAATGTTTGAAATTTTAAACACACTTTGCGGCACGTTCTACACGACAAGTGGTGACGAGATCTGCACTCGTTTCCGACCTGCGTATTCCGCGCTTCTGTAAACCCATTTGTCTGTTTGGCGGCTTCACGTTGCCTATGTCAGTCGAAACGGAAAACAGTGACCACATTACGACGCTACAGAAATATGCCACCCAAAAGGGGTGGAACTTCTTATCTCAATGGGGCCATGCTCCCCAACAAAATCCAGCTCCCCAATGCTGATCTACCCCCTTACCCCGCCCCCCCCCCCGGCCAATGTTGGGCCGGGCTTCCGCAATAGTGGGCTGGGCGCCCAGAATACTAAACGGAACTTCCACAATGTGGAACTTGGCGCTCAATACTTAACACAGTTCTTTGAAAAAAACAGTTCTTTGAAATAAAGATAATTTAAAGTTTGGAAAACTAGAAGTACATCTCAAATTGAAGTGTTTGTGTTTATTTGTGTATATCCCCGAGATGTAACAAAATTGAATTATTAAGCTGTTGGTTCAGCGGGTTCCTGTACTGTGCTGGTGAAATGAAGCACACCGTATTTTAGACAACAGACATCTGTGAATGAATGTAAAATTCAAGCGCGTCTTTGCAGTCCGCTTCGTGCTGCGCGGGTCCCCCATGGATGCTCCGCAGGCACAGTGGAAGCTACAAACAACGTTTTACAGTTTTTAGGCGTACCACGAGGGGCGAATCCAGGGGTATATTAAGGGAGAGACCACCCTGCACTACGGAACTCGAACCGGGTGACTTGAAACTTGGTGCCTCCCCTCTCACAGAATTTCACTATATTTCGGCCATTTCATTTTCTGATCCCTATTTTGTAATCGGGAAACTATCGTCCCTTGCGCATCGTAAAGGGTCACACACACACACACACACACACACACACACACACACACACCACGCACGCACGCACGCACGCACGCACGCACGCACGCACGCACGCACGCACGCACGCACGCACGCACGCACGCACGCACGCACGCACGCACGCACGCACGCACGCACGCACGCACGCACGCACGCACGCACGCACGCACGCACGCACGCACGCACGCACGCACGCACGCATATACATAATGTGCGTGCGTGCGTGCGTGCGTGATAGCGTGCGTGCGTGCGGTGCTTGGTGCGGCTTCATATTTTTACAGAGACTGATGAATCCTTCCAATGGTGTTTTAGAGAAGGCATGAAAAAACTAAGCTCAAGGGAAGACTCATCTGACCTAAGCATAGCTGAAGATCAGATGAAGTTGGATGGCGGGGTGGGCTGTGTGGATCATTGCGGCTCACGTTTACAGAATGAGCGCTGTTTAGCATGAGGTCTGATCCCAGGTAACCATCCATTCAAAACATTCAGATCAAACGAAGACTGAAGGATTTTTCCAAACGGTACGCCATGATTTAAAGAACTGAGTTTGCGGGAAGCATCATCGTCATTTTTATCATCATACGTCGTTCATTGGACCGAGACATTGGTTGTAATCTGGCATGTAACCATGAAAATGGAATAGCATGTGACAGTATTCAGCAGTATGGTTTACAGCACATCTCGGCAACGTGATATGCATGCTTGTTGAAGAAGCTCTTTAGCGTAGAAACTTTTATTGCAATTATTTCTACGCCCGCCGGCCAAGCCTTAACCATCCTGGTGAGCGCGTGGATTTTGTCGCAGTTCCATTTATGCATATAAGTGAACGGGAACGGCTCACAGCTAAAGATGGCCAGGATGCAAACATATCAGATTTTGCTTCCGTATTATATTCTCCTTCCGTATGAGATTTTGCTTCCGCCCATTTTCAGCCGCAGAATGTACGATCATGTATCGAACATACATCAGAGGCTTGGCTGTCTCTCCGCTGAGATGTAGTCATCTAAATCGTTACATTCGTAGACTTTCCATCAACATTTAACTTAATTCCAGTAGAGTCGTCCTCGCGAACTGCCTCTTCTTTGCTGCGCATGGTTCTGTGGATATGACCTCGAGCGAGCGGAGACTCGCGCCGCTGCGATGCCCGTGCGCCGAGATCTACACCTGTTTCTCCGACCTGCGTTTTCAGTACCTTTTTTACACCTGTTCCCTCGATTTGACAATTTTGTATTCCAGTCTAATGGGTCGAAAGGTGAAAACGGTGGCGACATTATGACGCTGTACAAATATGCTGTCTGATCAAACGGTTGGAATTGAAGTACCTTGAGTGGCTTTCAAGGTTAAGAGATTCAGGGTTTAAGATTAAAGATCTGGGCCACTTGTAGACGAAAACTCAAAGACATTACGGCCAGAGGCTGCAAAGATTTAAGCCCGCAAAAGGCGTGACATGCCCAGCCGAGCCGGAGCGCTGAAGCCACGTAAATTCCGGTTTGTTGACGGGATGCTCGCTTGGCCTGCGGCCTCTCTCGTAATGACTCCTGACGAGTAATTGAATATATGCACTAGGTCTGATGGTTCATCGGACGTCGCGTACCTTTTGGCTGTTGCGATGCCGCAGTGAACATTGCCAGCAAGGGAGGACGTATATCCGGTGGACCAGCAACCAAGCCGTGTGCGAGCGTAACAACCCGAATGCTGCTCGCAGGTGCTACTTCGATCTGTGTGATGGCATATTCCTCAACTACGGCTGGACGCCGGAGCGGCTGGCGGCGTCGGGCGAGCGGGCCGGCCGGCGCCGCGCCGACCTGTACGCCGGCGTCGACATGTTCGGCCGTGGCTCGCTGGGTGGCGGCGGATTCAACGTAATCCAGGTGCACCGTCTCCCGCGGTCAGCTGCGGGCGCCGCCGAACGCTCGCTGGACTGGAGATGCTCGGCGTGTTCGTCACGGGCGGCGCTTGGGGCTGCGGCACGTCCGAGTGGCGCAAAGAAGACAGCAAAAAGCGACGCGCTCTGTGGTGATCATCCTATCCTGTGTTGTGTTGCTTTGTAACGGCCATGCTGTTAAGCCTACCGCAGTATCTTCCCGTCACTTTGAATCGCCTGTTTTCACGTACATCATGGATTTCATCATCTCCTTTTTATGTTTGCCCTCGTCCGTGCGCTCTTTCACTCTCCCTTTATAACGTTCCCTGTGTCTCGCTCCCCGTGTGTGTACCGCGCCTCGCCCGACGCGCGATGCGTCGCCGGCAGCCGGTGGCCGAGTCGCGCTGGCTGGGTCTCTCGACGGCGCTGTTCGCCCCCGGATGGACACACGAGCGGCTCGGCGCCGACCGGTTCGCGCTGGCCGAGGACGTGCTGTGGTCGCGGCTCTCGACACTACTCGGCGCCCGTGGACCCGCCCGTCTGCCGCTCGTCACCGACTTCTGTCAAGGCCGCGGACTGAAGCTCTGCGCCGACGGCCAGGTGGGCCCGATTTCCTCCATGTGGCGCTGGATCCAGTCGGAACCGTTGCTCGCAAGGCGCCATCTGCAGAGCGGGACCTGGAGAGCAAACCGTTCTGTCCGCTGTGCACTCCCCGCAGCGAAGTGCCTTTCTGCTGGTGCGCCTCCTCCACTGCCCGCTGTGGCGACGGCTGTGTGGTGTGGTCAGGGGAGCCATCCATCGGCTCCCCCCCTCCGCTGTGGCGACGGCTGTGTGGTGTGGTCAGGGGAGCCATCCATCGGCTCCCCTCTCCGCTGTGGCGACGGCTGTGTGGTGTGGTCAGGGGAGCCATCCATCGGCTCCCCCCTCCGCTGTGGCGACGGCTGTGTGGTGTGGTCAGGGGAGCCATCCATCGGCTCCCCCCTCCGCTGTGGCGACGGCTGTGTGGTGTGGTCAGGGGAGCCATCCATCGGCTCCCCTCTCCGCTGTGTGGCGTTTCCAGTTGTTGTCCCCAAGGTGGCCCGTCTCCTGTCCTGCCCGCTGTCCGCTGTAGCGGCATCTGTGTGGTGCTGTGTGCGGAGTGCCCCGTCTGCTTTTCCCTCCTCTGCGTGATGCTGGTGTACAGTGCACGTCATGCCCGTCATGGCCCGGCGGCAGGTGACACGCGCCAAGCCGTGGCATCGGCTTTCGGCCCAGAGTCCGCAGCCGACCTTCCTGCAGACGCGGCGGCCGGCCGAGCTGGCGCTGACCGACGCCGACGGCCGGCCGGTGCAGGCCGGCTTTGCCCTGCGCGCACCAGCCCTCGGCGCCTCGGCAAAACGGTGCGTTCCGTGGAGACCCGACACTTGCGTGTGGGCTTGTTGGGTCACTGTGGACCAGGAGTGCCTTTTTCAAGGGAATGTTTCACATTTGAAGATATCGAAGCAAGCATCAGATATGATGAAACAAGCTCACTTAGAACTATGGTATACTTTTTAAGTGGAAAAGACTGCTCCAACAGCACAATTCTCTATTAAGTAAATATGCTTCTGAATACGTCATGTTTTGATTGCGCCATCGTACCTTGCATAACATTGATCGAGAGCCAGTTGACGGCCGTTACATCCGGAAATCACGTTCACGAACGTCAAATATGAGTGCCTCAACAATGATATTTTTATCGGCCTTAATCGCCGCATGAGTTATGGAATGGCAGGATTTAAATGATAGTATTATGATGTCATGGATGCCAAGATGACTTTGAAATACTCTCCCCGGTATACATTTCCCCATTTTCACTGGCGCGTAGCTCAGCAACCAAAAGGTCTTAGGTCTTAGGAAGGGCAGGATTGTTAACAGCACCCAAAGGTCTTCAAGATGACTGTTTCCGTTCAAAACTTCATATCAATGTGGAGCACTCCCTTTAAATCGGTTTAGGAGCTCAGCCAAAAAGGTTGACGTAGCCTAATTTAATAAAATCAAATTTAATAAAAGCCTAATAAAAGCCTAATTAGCCTAATTTAATAAAAGCCTGATTTCTCCCTGGATTTCGGACACTTGAATTTGTATCCTTGATGTTCAAGTAAAAAACAACTTTTTAATATTTGGTAGCTTCAAAACTGTTTTCCCGCGGAGGAATGACTTCTCATTTCAAGTGAATGTGAGCTGACTGTTGTGAAAATCTTAGAATGGGGTTTAATTCACCGAAAATTATCTCGGTAAATGTTAGCAAGGGATCACTGATGACTACCAGTGTCGCTGATCATGTTGTAAAGCCACCACAGCCATGATTATGCGACAAATGCACTTGCCGCTGTTTAGGAAAACATGCATTTACTTTTATCTGGGCGACCCTGTAAATTTAAAAGCTGCCGCACATTGCGGTAAACTTTTCTTGATCCCAAACCCCATTATCTTTTTTTTTAAACTTGTCAACCATTTGCAGACCGACTTAACGTATGAAGGAGTTGGCATGACAAAGCATCGCGCACCTACAGGATCCTGTTTGTTACAACATAAAGATGGTACTCATTGTGATGTGTTTACGCGCCTACGACCTAGTATACCCATAGTAAAGACAATTGTTCTGCACTTATTTGGTCCAATATCCCCTCCTTGCTGATATGTATTGAGAGGGTCAGAGTCAGAGGC